ACCATCTCATGTTGACCTAAGTTTCAAAGACCAGGCATGCACCATATGTACATATCAGTACAGCAGGCCCAGCTCCTTATGTTGACCACCTCTGTATGTTAACCAGTTTGTTACAGTCCCTTGGGTGGTCAGCTTATAGAGGTTCTACTGTATTTAGTTTATGATGTTCTAGATCCTCATATCGATCTTCTGACCAGACATCTGCATATGGGAGTCAACATTTATTTCAGCCTCAACAAATCAAAAAGAAAATTTCCTCTGCCTCACTTTTCTCTTCTCCCACCTCATGCTACCACAATCATAAGACAAAGCAACCTTTTTTTTCTTTCTGAAATTTACTCACTCTCCACTGAATTCCTCAGTTCAAATACCCCCAGTGCATCCCTTTCTACATAAATAAATAAGTAGTTGCAACTTTTTTTATTAAATCTGGTTTTTTTCCTCCATTCTCCTTATCACTGCTGCCATTTAGGTCCTCATTTTATGCCTGAAATATTAATTTCCAGCTGGGCTTCCTGGGTCTAGTCACGCATGTCTGATCATCTACACAACTGTTCAGCATAATGATTAAAAACAATTCCTGGGCTGGGTGTGGTGGCTCACTTTGGGAGGCCAAGGTATGGATGATCACCTGAGGCCAGGAGTTTGAGACTAGCATGAGCAACACAGGGAGAGTAGACCTTGTGTTTGCAAAAATTAATAAGCTGGGCATGGTGGTACATGCAACTGTAGTCTGAGCTACTCAGGAGGCCTAGGCAAGAGGATTACTTGAGCCCAGGAGTTCAAGGTTGCAGGGAGCTATGATGACACCACCGCGCTCCAGCCTGGGCGACAGAGCAAGACTCTGTTTCAGCAAACAAACAAAAAATTTCTGAAATATCTCAGCTATCACAACAGTATGGTGAATAACAGATTGACCTTCTGAATGCCCACCTCCCAACAGAGGGTTTTTCTAAAACATACCTCTGGTTGTTTCTTGCTTTAAACTTTTCAGTAGCATACTGATCTGACCCTGCCTGCCTCTTCAACCATGCATTCACCATTCTTCCACTTGCATGCTCCACCACTCACACTTGCTTGTAGTTGCCCCATTTTGGTGAGACTACTTGGGATGGTGAATTGGGATGCTACCTCTGTTTCTCCTGCCTGGCTGATTCTTCCTACACTTAAAGGCTCAGCTCAAATATCTCTTCTGTAATGCCTCCCTATTCCCATTTCCCTTTAGCCACTTTGTGTACTTCCTTCCCAGAATGTCACACATTGTACATTGTTGTCATTTGTTTACTTGTCTGACTTCCCTACTCAGATCAAGGGTAGGGACTATCTAGTGCCCTGGCATAAATATTTATTGAATTGATCTGGATTGGATACTTTTCTGGCCCATTGAAATGCCATTACTTTTCTGTGTAATGTAAGCAATAAAGTAGCAGGGCAACCACATGAACCATGTTTACTGCCAGCTAAGAGTCACTTTAGGTATCATTTCATCCCAAAATCTTATCCTACAGAGTAGTCACACATGAAATATAATTCTAGCACTCTGGGAGGCCGAGACAGGTGGATTGCTTGAGCTCAGGAGTTTCAGACCAGCCTGAGCAAGAATGAGACCCCATCTCTACTAAAAACAGAAAAACTAGCCAGGCATTGTGGAGGGCACTAGTAGTCCCAGCAACTCTGGAGCCTGAGGCCTGAAGATTGCTTGAGTCCAAGAGTTTGAGGTTACTGTAAGCTATGATGATACCATGGCACTCTACACCTAGGGTGGCAGAGTGAAACTATGTCTTTAAAAAAAAAAATTCTAGATGTGCTTTTAGAATAGATGGCAAATAAGAGGAAAAGAGTCGGGGGAGGCCTTACTGGTTGGAAATGTTGCATCTTTCTGCAGGAAAATCCTATCTTTTTTTCTTATCTTTTAAAATAGTTTTGAGGGAGTTTTAGTTCTGGGCACAGGATGTCCAGACTTAATCTCCTCTAAATTAGAGTCATGGTGGTAAAAGAAGATGATGAAAGGCTTGCTTAATCCCGCTTATTGTTAAAATCAAGGGCAGTTTAAATCTTAGTTTCAGGATTACTTTGGAACCTGGACTGAGATGGCTGAGAGATAGTAGAGTCTGGTGGAGTAATAAATTAGTTGCTAATAGACCTGTACTCTCACCAATTGGTATTTCCTATTTCTCAACTCCTCTTGGTTTATTCCTGTCATTTACTGAATTATAAACCACTTTGTATTACTACAGATTTACTTCATGTTATCATTCCACTTATAAAGTCTTTGGCCAAATGCCAAGAGCTCCATAAAAGAGTTTGGGGTCTGCCACTGATTTGGTGTGTTATTTGAGGCAAATATTTTTAGATTCTTAATGTCACCTATTTTATAATAGAGTGATGATCTATTGTATTGTATGGCCATTTGAAAGTAAGTATGAAAACTGTACCTCCTACATTTTCCAGATATGTTCCACTTTCCATAATTCTGATCCATTGTCAGGCACAGATAATTTTTGGTTTTGAAAATGAGGTCAGGGCATGGTGGCTCACAATTATAATCCCAGCACTTTGGAAGGCTGAGGCCAGAAGATTACTTGAACCCAGGGATTCATAATAAGCCTAAGTAATATAGCAAGACTCCATCTCTACAAAAAATTTAAAAAGTAGCTTGGCATGGTGGTACATGTTGTATATGATTGCCCATATATAACTGTTTATTGTTAACTTTTGATGTATTTTTTGGTTTTCTTTTACCTATACATAGATAATTCTCCCCTTTCTTTTAAAAAATTATTAGTACAGAAGCACCATATGAATAGATTCTCATTGTGTTTTAAACAGTGTGATAGAACACAGAGCACTATGGGAAATTTTCTCCTCACCATTCTGCAGTGCCCTCTAACACACAGATTTCCTGCTCTGAAGGTTAATGTTAGGATAGCACTTGGTGAGTGGTCTTCTGGTCACCATCCGTTTACAGGGGTGTGTATGTATATGTATGTTTATAAAAAGGAGGCTCTTACTCTGTGTTTTATGCAGTTGACTTCTTTTTTCACTTTGCTGTGACACTATAGGTCTTGGGAAAATCTTTCTATGTCCGGACATACAGGCCTAACTTCTTCTTTCCTTTGTTGTTGTTGCTGTTGTTGTTAATAATTACGGAATATTTCATTTTATGAGTAAACCTAGTATTTTACTGCTTACCTATTGAAAGACATTAAGTTTCTAGTTTTTTACTTACATAGTGAAACAGTCCTGTGCAAACATATGTCTTTGTGCACATGTATGAGTATTTCTGTTGGATAGTTGCCTGGAAGTAGAATTGTTGGCTCAAAGTGAATGCTATTTTGGTTTTGATAGATGGTGCCAAACTGTCTTCCCAAAGGAATTCACCAATTTAAACTTTTACCAGTGGTGTTTAAAAGTGGTTTTTTTATGGATCTTTACAAACACTTGATAATATCATTATTTTTATTTTTGTCAGTCTGATGGGTGAAAAGTGGCATGTGTTTTAATTTGTATTCTTCTAGATTATAGATCATTCCTTGTCTACTTTCTGCCTTTTAGGAATTCTTCAACATTGCCAATTACTCGATGACATCTTGTTTTATTATAATGTGTTTTCTGTCTTACTATATAGTAGTATAACTGGCATATGATTGTTTACTCTGTGTATAGACTACAGTTGCCATAATAATTTTTCTACTCATGGCTGTTGCCAAAATTTTATTGTTATAAACAATGCTGCTTTCAATATCTGAGCATAAAGGGTTCACGCCCAGGTGGTTTTATAACTTCAGCATTCTATGTCAATGCTTTCTGAATATAGAAATGAGTAAACAATTGTCCCACTGACTTGTGACCCAAACCTATCACTGATGCCACCCAATAACAATAGCATAAAAAGCAAAACCTTTAGACCAGCCTCAATTATGTGTATGGATGTGGAAATACTGAGTAATATACTCCCAAATAGATATTCTCAAGGATAATTTACCAATAGGGCCATAATGAATAATGGCCGAGTAAAGTTTACTCTCAGAATGGAAGAACAACTTAATGTTAAGAAACCTATTGATAACAACATATTAGGTCATTAAATGTGAAAAACTGTGATTATCTTCATAGTTGCCAAAAATGAATTTAAATCAAACACCTATCTATAATAACAATTCTTGGAAAAAGAATAGGATATTTTCTTTACATGTTACAGAGTATATCTAATCTCAAACCATTAGAAATATTCTCCTTAGAATCAGGCACAGATAAGATTGCCCTCTGTTACTTAATATTATTTTAGAAGCGCTGGGTGATGCAATTAGGTGTGAAACAGAAATAAGAATTAAAGGTTTGAGGATTAAATAAGGCAATATTTTAAAAAGTAATAATAAATAAGGCAACATTTTGATTTCTCTGGTATAGTATTTCTGAATCAAAGAAGATACTCTGGCTTTTAAAAAAATTACTACTAAGACATATTTACAAAGAAAAACCAAAATTGTTTCTTGCATCTTAAACCATGTATTCTGGTGCTTTTAAAATCCTGATCCTTGCTAAGGGAATCATCTTGATTATCTGATCTGAGCCAAGGTCTCTCTTCAAGCCTTCAGTCACTGGCATAGAGGTGAGTGCTCAATACCTGTGACTGGCTGAGTGATGGGCTCCATGATATTTTCAGTGACCTTTTAATGAGTTATTTTTTCATCCTCGAAGTACTCAGAGGTATGAGTCCCAGGCCAAGGGAATAATGAGGTTACGGATGAGAAGGATACAGAAAAGAAGGCTCTTAAATGGTGACATGATTGTTTTGACACTTAACTTGTCCAGCAGACCACTGTCTACCCTCAGTGCTGTGCATTTCTGTAATGTATAGCAGCTGTCTTTTATCAGGAGTTACTTGGAAATAACTAGTTTGGTTAAACACTACAGAGAAATCTTTTCAAAGTAGCTGGCTGTCTCTAGCTTTATTTCATAACTTTGGTCTATAAAATTTCTCTTTTTCCCCCTGATAGCATGTGGAGAGGTCCAAATGTGAACTGTGTTGACAGCACTGGCTACACACCCCTGCACCATGCTGCTTTGAATGGCCATAAGTAAGTATTAATGTGTTGCATTCCTGCCCCACCCTGCAGAACCCGGGCCTTCAGGTTTTTCACTTCGTATAAGGTTTGCTAAGCAGTGACACTGAGAACAGGGACAAACAAACATAAATTCAGTCTATCCAGAATTCCTGTGTCTCTCGTTAGTATGTAATTTAAACATCATTCCCTGTCCCACCTTTAGCCAAAGGTTAAATTTTAGCCTTTCTTCTGCTTGTTCTTTTCCACTCTGGAATACTTCAGTGCCACACAATGATCTAAGTATGAAGATCAAATTTGGGGCAGCCAGATCATGCAGGGGCTAGAATCTATTTGGCCTTTGTAACTAATCCCTTGATAAACTGAAAATAGACTGAGTGGTCATAAGAAACCTGTCTTCTTTTAAAGTAGTTATTTATTTACTCTGTCTTCTTGCCTACCATTCTTTCCTCTTAAAATTAGTCCTGTAGACAAGAACCACTTTTTATTTTTATTTATTTGTTTAGTCTTATTTTGTCACCCTTAGTAGAGTGCTGTGGTGTCATGGCTCACAGCATCCACACTCTTGGGCTTAAGTGATTCTCTTGCCTTAGCCTCTCAAACAGCTTGGACTATAGACACCCACCATAATACTTGGCTATTTTAGAGACAGGGTCTTGCTTTTGCTCTGGTTGGTCTCCACTCCTGAGCTCAGTCTACCTGCCTCAGCCTACCAGAGTGTTAGGATTATAGGTGTGAGCCACTGCCCAGCCCAGGATCCATTTTTAAAGGGAAAACCATAGCCTACATAATTTTCTTTCTTTTTTTGCATTCTTCACCCTTGGTAGAGTGCCGTGGCATCATAGGTCATAGCAACTTCAAACTCCTGGCCAACAATACACAGCTAGTTTTTCTGTTTTTATTAGAGACAGGGTCTCACTCTTGGTCAGGCTGGTCTTGAACTTCTGAGCTCAGGCAATCCACCTGCCTCAGCCTCCCAGAGTGTTAGGATTGCAGGTGTGAGCCACCATCCCCAGCCCTGTGTAATTAATAGATAGTTTATTAGGAATTGGGTGGGATTTGTGTGGAAAGTTTTTTGGAGAAGGTATGCTTTGGGGGAGTTTGAGAGAGAGAGAAGGCATGTGTCTAAATCATTGGGTACTGCCTTTCTTGTGGCTCAGCAAAGGAGCAGGTAAGGTTGTGGAGCATAATGAGTAGCTTTGCCAAGATGTTGAAGAATGGAAACCAGAGTGTAACCAAATCAAAAATGTTAAAGGAAACAAAGTACTATAGGAGATAAGCAGTAAGGATTTCGTTTTTATAAGGAGGAAGTATTGGAATCTTATTAGATTTTTCTGAGCAAGAAACAGGGCCCTTACTGTATTCTATATCAGTTGTCCAGTATTTGGCCCAGCCAGATTGACTCCAGCATGCCAAAAAGAGGCAATCATTGTTTTCTTCAACATTAAACTTTTGTAAAATATATTGAATGTATCATTAAGTTTCCATAGCCATCTTAAAGCTAATAAGAAACCTATAGTGACCCCTCCCCACCTTAAATAGTGGAGTAACCTAAATTAAGGTGAATCTTGAACTTCAATGACTGTGGCTTGTTAGACAAATTCATCTCCAGATTCTGTTTTTATTTACAGTGGAGATTTTCTTTGACCGACCCCATGTGCATGGGGATAAATATACACTTATATCTGTAAAATTAGTGGTATCATCAGGAAAAAATCCAAATCTCTCTTTTTGGAGGTATATTACTAAATGTGGCTTATATTTGCACACAACTTTTATTCTTCTTTGCCTCTCTGCTTTTTGCTCCCACATAAATACTCTGAATAATGTGAATAATGGTATTTGTTTTATATGTCTACTTCTATGTAAATTCTGAATACTGCTTAAACAACATAAAAAAGGAAACACTGCAGGGTTTCAACAAGGAGTCCAGCCATTTTCAAGTTAGGGAAAATGGATTACCAAGAAGGTTTAAACAGGGAAGTGATGAGTTGGTGTAGCACAGCTCAAGATGTTTCTTTCCTGCAGATAACATTGCACAGAAGAAAAAAAAAAGATGGTTCAGCTGCCTATCTGCAGCTATACAAAGTAGCTTGTGGAATAGAAGGAAAAGATTGGGCTATGCGCTTAGGTGGAAACAGGGGAGCCAAAAGAGATAATATCTGTAAAAGGACTTTGTGCTATACAAATGTTGTTATACAAAGAGCTGTTTGCATGAAAAACTTAGGAGTTCTGCAAACTCATGATTGATTTTTCCCTTCTAGGGACGTGGTTGAGGTTCTTCTGAGGAACGATGCACTGACCAACGTGGCCGACTCTAAAGGCTGTTACCCTCTGCATTTGGCAGCCTGGAAGGGAGATGCCCAGATAGTGAGGTTGCTCATCCATCAAGGGCCTTCACACACCAGAGTCAATGAACAGGTTGGAAGGAAGGGAGGTTTTACTCCCTCCATTCAGCTGTGGCCAGACCTGGCAGCCCTATCACATCTCAGTCCTATAGCTGAAATCTCAGGAAACCCACTGCTTCCGTATCCATACCCTAAATGTGACTCTTCCTTTTGCCAGTTTTATTCTCCATAGTGTATTGGGAAATCCTACACTGTGAGGATGTATTTTATGTGCATTTGACTCATGCAGATTATAAATAGTATTATAATAAAAATATATACAGCAGGTCCTTTGATCCACTTATCAAACCATATCAAATGCAAAGATATAAAGGGCTAACTGTACTCATTTTATGTGCAAAATTTGAAATAATGCAAATCCTCTAAAATTGCATAGTCAATTTTACACTAGTGGACTTAATTAACTATAAATTGTGCTTGTGCCATCAATGTGGCAACACAGCTTTCCCAGTGTTTGTCGGTACTGTGAGAACCATGTTGTTACTTTAGGTACATCAGAACTTGAAGAAGTGGAAGTACTCATGCTAGTGCTGAAACATGAACTCGCAGATCAGAAACATCTGAGTAGAGGTCAGAGGTGATTCAGTGGAATGAAGGTCATTTCTATGATGTCCTCTGATGTTAAGAGTGAACATGTTTTGAAAAAGCAGAGATAGTTCTTAGAAAATAAAAAAAGGCAGCATTTGGGCAAAAATAACCTTTGGGCTCTGAATTTAGGTATTCTGAGAATAATCTTCCTCTCCTTCACATTTATTCCTTTGGGAAAATTATACTTGAAATTATGCAAGTATTAGACAAGTTCTTACAACTCTCTGTCATTTGGATTAGAGGTTGTGTGCCAGTTTAAGAGGAGATAGGCTTTCCTTATGTGACAAGCCATTCTCCTTTTTCCTCTCTCTTCTGAATTGAAACAGGTACTTTTCTCAGTTTCTTAGATGAGGGAGATGCTAAATTTTCACAATAAGGTTAGGATTGTTTTTCTTAGGACTTTGCCAAGAAGAGATTGTTAAATTACCTATAGGATTAGATCAAGATTTTTCCTCAAAAAATAGGAAATCATCCTGGCAAGTCCAAATCAGTTCTCAATGACCCATGCAGTTCTCAATGAGTTGTTAAGAGGATGACTTTGGTTCTGAGAAGGGAAACTTCATTCTGAGGTATGAGAAAATTAGTGCTCCCACATCTCTTCCTTGGGATATTGTGTGGATATAGCTGTTAATCAACTTCCCTTTCCCTTTTTGGGTTGTATTTTCTGGGTAGGTGAGCAATACACATTTAAGATCATCAATGAGATGTTTGTTTATAATATTTGAGAATGAAAATTGTCTCTTCAGAATCTAAATGCAATTTTTTTTTTTTGAGATAGAGTCTTGCTATGTTGCCCTCGGTAGAGTGCCATAGCATCACAGCTCACAGGAACCTCCAACCAACTCTTGTGCTTAAGCAATTCTCTTGCCTCAGCCTCCCAGGTATCTGGGACTACAGGCACCCACCACAACACCTGCCTATTTGTTGTCGTTGTTGTTGTTGTTGTTGTCATTGTAGTTTAGCAGGTCTGGGCCAGGTTGGAACCCTCCAGCTCCAGTGTATGTGGCTGGTGCTCTAACTACTGAGCTACTGGTGCTGAGCCTCTAAATGCAATTTTACTCCCCCTGGCTAAAATGGTCATTTCTCTTCTCTGGAGGAATATATAATGAAATTTGCTTGAAACTAATATTCTTCAGTGTTGAAAAACTGGTCACCCATTAAAGTCCTTCTCATTTAAGAAATTTTCAGCAACCATTTCTAATCCTGTCTTTGCTCACATTTGCCTTGGAACACAGCTGCTTGGAGTGTTGAGCCACTTGAGTGCGCTAGCTTAACCTACTCACAGCTGCCATCTGCCTGAAGTATCCATTGATTTTGGGACAGCAGCCTGGTGCTTTGAGTATCTGGGGGGGAGGGGCAGGGCAAGATGTCTACAGTAGCTGGAAGAACTTAACTTAATAGATCTAAGTACTGGTTATTACATTGATTTATTTAAAAATAATTAATGTGGTTCCTGTTGGATGCTTGCATTAAAGGGGAGTAATGAATGAGGTGCCCTAGAGGTTGTTGTCCCCATGAACTTCCCTTTGAAGACATCCAGAGGCATCCAGGTTGTTGTAATGTTGGGCCCCTTGGGGCTGTGTATTGCTTTGATATATTTCATCCATTTTATCATTATATTTTCTTTTCCTTTCCTTTTTGTAGAATGCTCTTGAGATCAAAGAACTCAAAAAGTACGGCCCCTTTGACCCTTATATCAATGCCAAGGTGTGTACTTTGCTGCCAGGATATCTCTTTATCATTTCTCTGAGCTGTACCTCTTCTTTGGCCCTCTCTGGTTTCCACTCAGGCTCGCGTCATCACCCTATTGCCTGTATCAGCCCATCTGCTTTTGGCTTGTCTGGAAATGGAAAATGCAGCTGCAGTGGATTTTGATTTTATTTTTTAAATCCACACTAATTTGGGAACTTTGAACTCTGAAGTGGTAGGAATGGGGAACTAGAAGGGACCATATTATGTGCTTAATTTACTATTACAATTTTTTACTTATTTAAATTTTTAAAGACAGTTCAAAGATACCAAACACATTAGCTTACTTTTTATTCCCTTAAGACTTTGCTTACTTTTTAATAAGCACCGAAAAAATGATTAAATTGTATTTCTTAGAATTAACCATTTTTTTAGTTTACTTTCCATATGTCATTTGACATGGAATATGATTTTCAGGTTTCTATAGTGGGTGGAGATATGGGAAAAGGAAATGGGTGACTCCATTTTGTTCTGTTAAAAGCTGTTGCTTGCCTCTACCTGCTCATTTCCCAGTGTTTGTGCATTTCTGCCTTATGCTTTAAAACCTCAGTCCAGTCTCTCTAAGCTATTAGCTTCTCTCTCTGCTTGATGATTATTGGCCCATGGAGCGTTCTGAAATAGGAAATGATGTTGCAGGACCAAGCAGGGCACTTGCCTTGAGTCTCCCTCCCTGTGAAGCTGGGACAAGTCCTGGTCTGATAGACCTGGTAATGAACAGCCCAGCCCTTTCTATCCCTCAGGGCTTCACCACATCAGAGCAGCAAAGCTTGTCAATGTGTGGTGGTATTTCCTCAGTAGTCTCACCTGCTGTTTTAGATGGGCGATTTTATTCAGATGAAGCTTGTTTTTTGGCAGCAATCTCAAGTTTACTTGAGATGATGCATTATCCTTGTTAGCTGTCTTTTATGTGCTCTTAATATAGCTGCCTTGGGGAAGGGAAACATAAGGCACTTCTGTATGTTTCCAAACACAAGGCAGATACTTCATGCTTTTCTTTGAGAAATACTGATTTAGGAAACAAAGCTCCCTATGGGCTGGACCTTTAGATTTTCTTCAGCTATTGGCCCTTAATAGTGGTGCAGCAGTTTGACCTGAGGTGGTAGAAGACTTCAGCTCTGCTTTGGTCTGCTCTTTAAATTCTGTTTTCTAATCTCCAAAATAGGAGGATAATCTTACCTAGCTGTTTGGGTTTTGGGGTGTTTTTTTTTGGTGGAAGAGGAGAAAACTGAAGGGTTATAGACTATCATGTCAGATCTGAGTTTGAGTTCTGGGCTGACACTTACTGGTTTGTTGTCTTGAGCAAGCTTACTTAATTTCTCTGAGCTTCAGTTTTCACTACTAAAAAGCAGGGTACCACCATCTGCCTTGCTGGATTATTTTGTAGTTTTTTTTTTTTCTTTCTTTCTTTCTTTTTTTTTTTTTTTATTGAGACAGTCTCACTTTGTGGCCCTCAGTAGAGTGCTGTGGCATCATAGCTCATAGTAATCTCCAGCTTTTGGGCTTAAGTGATTCTCTTGCCTCAACCTCCTCAGTAGCTAAGACTACCAGTGCCCGCCACAATGCCTGGCTTTTTTTTTTTTTTTTTTTGTAGAGACCAAGTCTCACTCTGGCTCAGGCTGGTCTCAAACTCCTGTGCTCAGGCAATCTACCTGCCTTGGCCTCCCAGAGTGCTAGGACTATAGGCGTGAGCCACCAGGCCCATGCTATTTTGTAGTTTAAATTAAAATGTACATAAATTAAAAATAACTAGTAACTAGAAATATTTGAGATCCTAATTTTTTTAAGTATTTATAATGTATTTTTGAAAAGGCATTTTGGAATCTGATCTTAATGAAACATTGCTCAATTTGTCTATATAGGGTTTTCTTTTGTGGAGAAGGACCTTGAAGTGATTATTTTCCCACTCAGTGATTAGTTTAGTTAACTTACAAAGCTTTGATTAAAAGGTAAGACTTTGGGTTTTTGGGTAGAATGCTATGGCATTATCATATAGCTCACTGCAACCTCAAACTCCTGGCTTCAAGTGTTCCTCTTGCCTAGTTTCCTAAGTAACCAGCACTACAGGCACCTGCCACCATGCCTGGTTAATTTTTTCTATTTTTGGTAGAGGTAGGGTCTTGCTCTGGCTATTCTCAAGTATTGCTCAGTGATCCTCTGCCCTCAGCTTTCCAGGGTGCTAGGGATTGCAGTGGTGAGCCACCATGCCTGGCTAAGACTTTGGTTCTTGAAAGTACATTTTCCTATCTTTTAATTTTTCACACATAAAGGAAATTAAAGAATATTATTATCTCTTTGTAAATTCTGCCCTTTACCTTTTCCTGTATACCTTGAAAGGCCAAAAATGATGCAAACTATATTAAGGGATAAAGCTAGGTTGATCTGAGAATGCAAAGCCTCTTGAGCTCATTCAAATCTAACCTTGCTAGGTTTTGTCCTAACTCAGGGGATTTTCACAGATCTTGCTAGTGGCTAGGTTTTGATCAAGTACTTTTTTTTTTTTGGTAGAGACAGTTTCACTTTATTGCCCTCGGTAGAGTGCCATGGCATCACACAGCTCACGGCAACCTCCAACTCCTGGGCTTAGGTGATTCTCTTGCCTCAGCCTCCCCAGTAGCTGGGACCACAGGCACCCTCCAGAATGCCCAGCTAGTTTTCTGTTGCAATTTGGCTGGGGCTGGACTTGAACCCGTCACCCTCAGTATATGGGGCCGGCACCCTACCCATTGAGCCACAGGTGCTGCCCCATCAAGTACTTTTGAATGCTAAGTCTTATCAGGTACTTGTAAAGATTAAAATGTTGTAAATGCCTTTTTAGGGAGCAAATGTGGTTTTCATGAGCTTTGGTATTCCTCTTTGACATTTGAGACTTTGTTCTTCAACAAATCAGTGTGAACCAACTAAATGTAAATTATACTTAGCTAAGGTAAAATGATGACAATTCTTAATTTCCCCCCTTTTAAAATAATTTTAACTTGGTGTGAATATCATAAAATGGACAATACTTAGGTTAGTTTTTTTTTCTTTTGTACTTTAAAATAATTTACAGTCTCATAGCTAAGCAGGGGTCCTCAAACTTTTTAAACAGGGGGCCAGTTCACTGTCCCTCAGATGGTTGGAGGGCTGGACTGCAGGGCCCAGGGACGAGTCGGCTGCTAAGCAGGACAGGCAGCAGTGGCAAAAACACCCTGTGGGCCGGATAAAGGTCCTTGGCGGGCTGCATGTGGCCTGCGGGCCGTAGTTTGAGGACGCCTGGCTAAAAGAGTCTTGGAGTTTTATCTAGACTAATTCTTTCAAATGTAATTAGCTTAGCTGTTTTCATGAGAATCACCTGGCAAGTTTTTTTAAAACTATATTTTGAAAATATTTCCAACCTAAGAAAAGTTATGAGAATAATAGAATGAAATGCTGCATACTCTTCTTGTTACTCTACTTATAAATGTTTCGCTATGTTTATATGTAGACATACCTTTTCTATGTGTGTGTGAATATTTAATACATACATATATACGTAGTATTAGGTTATTAAATATAAAATATCCAATTTCACTTTGATACTTCTTTTTACTTTTATGGTGAAGGTATACTCATTCTTTCACACACATATTTTGGCTTGTGATTGATTAGCTTTCACATTTTTTTAGAGCAATTTTTGTAAGACCATGAATTAGTGAAATTTTTGTGTTGTTTTGAGTATGAGTTCCATTGTGGGGCCAATGCACTGCAGACAGCTTGAAATATCAACAGAGAGTTTGGGAAGGATGTGGCTAATGAGCCACATGGCATGTTGATGGTTTAAGCGGTTCTGTTCTGCTGATTTTCATCTTGAAAAATGAACCACGTGGGCAGCCTGAAACCAGGGTATATAATAATTAACTGAAAGCTGAAGTGGAAGTGAATCCATCTCAACCTACATGTGAGTTAGTGACAAGGTTTGATGTTACTATTCTAATAATATTGGACCATTTGAAACAAATTGGCAAGGTAAAGAAGCTGGGTAGATAGGTTCCACATGAGTTAAACAAGCATCCGAAGAGGTATGGTCTAGAAGCTTGTCTTTTTGTGTTATCATGACATAAAGACAAACCATTTCTACACTGTATTGTCATATATGATGAAAAATGGATTCTTTTTGACAATTGTAAGCATTCAGCACAATGGTTGGATAAAGTGCTGAAACAACAATCCAAAATCAAATGTTCATCAAAAATGAAGATTATAGTGTCTCGTGGGCCAGCACTGGTGTTATTCACTACAGCTTCATGAAACCTGGTCATGCAGTTACAGCAAATGTCTGCTGCAAGAACTTGGATGAAACGATAAGGATGCTTGTGATTAAGCAGCTGAGATTGGTCCACAGAGACAGGCAGGACAATCCTCTTCCAGGACAACGCTCAACGCATGTAGCGTAAACAACTCTACTCAGACTACAGAGGCTGGACTTGGAAACTATTTATCATCCACTGTATTCACCAGCCATGCACCAACTGACTACCACTTCTTTCAAGCTTTGGACTACCTCTTGCAAGGAAAAATATTCAGTTCTCAAAAAATTGTTGAAAATACTTCTTGTTCTCCAGGCATCTTCGCTGCTGGCATAAACAAGTTACCATTGAGATGGCAAAACTGTGTTGAGGGTGTAGATGTAGAGTTTGATTAATTATACTGTTTGAGATTTGATTCAAAATAGGATATTTAACATTTAATGACCTAATATGTAAAATTGTAGCTGATGATGAATAATTTAAGATTAAGACACAGACATTATAATCTTCTAACCCTAATTATTTCAGTTTAGTATTTGTTAAGTCTTCAACCTAAATCTCCTAAGAACAAGGACATTCACTTAAAAAACCACATACAGTTATTAAATTTAGAAAATTCAGCTTTTTTTTTTTTTTTCGAGACAGTCTCACTCTGTTGCCTTAGGGTTGAGTGGCATGGCATCATCCTATCTCACA